ATAAGATATTACTAATACTAGGATGATACTAATAGATGTAAATTTGGCCACTGGAGAACAGGTCTTTACATAATCTATACCCTTCTTTTGGTAAACGTTTTAGCTATCAATCTAGCTTTATATTTTTATATGGATACATTTGTATTAAGATTTTTCTTTACGATCCATTTACAACCAATTGCTTTTATATCCTTAGGGAGATCAACCAATTCAAACTTAATTCCTTTTAATGGAATCAAATGTCTAATCCAAGGCTTGAATCCATTCAGTTGGAATCATGTAAGCTAGTAGCTTCATTGTCACTTCAAGGTTCATATATTATATCCTCACTAAATGAGAAATAATTATCTTCATTCATAAGCACATAAAATTCATTTGAGGTGTCTAATTCTTTTCGGTCTATCTAGTACATTAGGCTCATAAGAGCATGCTCACCAGTTGCATAGAGAAATTGAGTAATAAGGTCTTTAAGAACCTTATCATTATCAATTTCGTTTAAGTCAATATGCTTATTTAAAGTACGCTCATCATATATATTTTTTATTCAATACATATCACAGTTTTATACTAAGAATATAGTACCATGGTTATAAAATCTGTAGCCCTTGGACTTTTCTAAATAACCTATAAAAGAGCATTTAATATTTTTATTTTGTAGTTCATCTCTACTTTATGATAGTATAAGCAAATGTACCCAAGAACACCATACTTGTAAGAGCCTCACTCCAAAAATTAGGGAATAAATCTGAATAGCTCATCACAGACCTAACTATGTCCACTAGAGTCTCATTTCTTCTTTCAAGTACACGATTTTATTATTGTGGATATGACATGGTGGTTTGGTAATTGCCATTCTCCGTAAAAAACTAAGCAAAAAAGTCGAAGCAATATGCACCACCCCTATATGTTTTATTAAATTTAATGTTTCTACCTGGCTAGTTTTCTATCTCAGTTTTATAGTTTTTTAAATGTTTCTAATGTATCTAATTTTCTACTAAGTACACATATCTATAACGATAACAATCATCTATAAATACTATGAAATATTATTTACCTCCATGTGCTTCTACATTTAATAGGCAACATATCCGAATGTGTATTATTAAGAAGTTCATTAGACATTTTTCCTTTTACAAAAAGGCTTCTTAGTTATTTTACCAAAACTACATGGCTCTCATGTTTTTGAAAACAATTCCTCCCAAGTTAAGGAATAAACCTCTTTTAACTAGTTTGTTCATTTTATCTTTATTTACTTATCCTAGTTTTAAATGCCAAGAATATAAATCATTCACACAAGCATATGTATTCAAGGAAATATCTATGTAACCAAAATGAGAAGAATTTTCATTAATATACAATCCTACAAATTGTCGACTTTACCATACTCCAAAGCTCGATAATGTCTATCGATTGCACCGTGACTTGATCTGAACTTTATTTCATATCCCTCGTTGTCTAACCCTATAATGCAAATTAAATTGTGCCTTATATTAGGTATATAAAAAGCATCGGGAGAATCATTCCTCTAAGTGGACATAGCTTCTAAGTACTACATCAAGTACATTAAAATAGGCGTCAATCCCCATGTAAAGCAACTGGTTATTGGTTGTGATATCTTTCAACTCTATGAATCTATCATTAGTACTTGAAAGATGTCGATTGGAAGCTAAGTCAACCCACCAATTTTTCATATCATAATCAAAAACCAACTATTATGAGAGTATACAAATCAAGTTATTTTTCTTATTCTAATTATTACTATACTGAGTATTGTTGTTATTCTTGTCCGTAATTTTATTTTTTAGCTTAAAAGAATTACTCTTGATCTACCCAGCCTACTTTTTTTAATTTTAAAATTTATTCCCTTTACTTTATACCTCTTATTATTATTATTCCTATTATTGTAAGGTTTCTTAGGATTTTGGAAAGATGAACTTTGAGCAAATGAAGCTTATTTGACTTTTTTCTCATTATTCATTGAACTTCAATGCTGAAGTCATGTGAAGATTTAACACAGCGATCCCTTACATAGAGTGGTTCAAAGAAATCACAAAAGACTCCCAAGATGGAGGGTGACGGTTAAAAATAATGAAACTTACATATGGTTAACTACTACATACCCAACTAAAGCAAGGTTTTTTACGAGCACTGTCATTTTGTAAACATGCTCAATTGATGAGTTTTTTACCTTCATCCTATAAAAGTTATACCTTTGTAGCATGAGTTCAACATGGGTCTTAGAAATAGTCTCATACTTCTTGGATAGCACACCAAACAATCCTCAAATACACTAATCAAGTCATCTTCTATGGAAACCTAATATTGTGATGTTAGCTATTTCATCATGTTTTAACCATTTTTCTAGTCATTTTCTAGCTTGGCCACGGCATTAGGCTCTAAAACTGGTGGGACTGACTCTAGAATATAAATTTACCCATCTTAGAAGAGGATGTAACCTATTTTTCTCTTCTACATCGAGAAATTAGCTCCATACAGTTTTTCTAGTTTTGATAGTTCGTCATCACCAGCCTAGATACCACTTTGTTTAGTTAAGGAGGTTAAGGTGGTACATCAAATATACCAGTTGACAAAATAAAGCAAGCAAAGTAGATCAAAATTTTTAACCAGATTTGAGCTTGGAAAGGACTGTCTGCTTTAATTGAACCAATAGTTTACCGACTCTTATTGGCTATAATTGCTGATGTAGACCTTCTATCGAATGGTTGGTGCAATGTTATTGCTTGAACTAGTTAACTTCCAAAACTGGAGTGAATTTTGAACAAATCAATAACTGAATCAAACCCCGAAACAATTCAATTTCCCGTCGACAGACACTGACTTTGAGCTCAATTTATGTAAAAATCAGTCACTAAGCAAGTGGCCCAGGCTTCTCGATTTTGGTGGAGTGAGAAGCATCAAATCAAAGCTCAAATCAGCATGAACTCAGTTACCAACAAATGCATCGAACTGCTCATCTTGGTTACAAACTAGGCATCAAATTGGTGTTGAAATCATGTAGAAGTCAGTCACCAAATGGAGGCCCCGACCTGTTGATTTTGATGGATAAATGAGCTCCAAATCGGAGCTGTTGTTGGTGCCAGTCCTTTTCTTGGAATATGGGACCAGTTGCCTAATTTGCCAGTCCTTAGCTAGATTTGGGGTTCGAATCTGAGCATACCAGTAACTAGCTCGCAAGCTTTATGACCAAAACAAACTCTTCTCATGTGATTCGATTCCTTATTCCATATGGGACCAGTTGCCTAATTTCTCTTTGGAACCCCACTTTTGTTAGTGTAAATATAGCCGATATATCTTCAAACCTTTGGATTTTAAGCATACACCGCAGCGAAGACAAACGTGGTGTTGCCGCTTCGGCTTGCTTCAGGTCTGCTTCAGTCGAAGCTTGGGATTGCTTCGATCAAAAAAGGGGATACCTATATAAAAGTATATTTTAACTTTTTTTAAAATTTTTTAAATTTTTTTATTTTTTTCCATTATTTAATATATTATATATAAATATCTAATTTATTATTATTAAATCTTAAAAAAATCCGAATCATCTATCGAATCGGCCAAGCACCAAATTGCTTCATTTTGCTTACCAAACCACAGAAGACTCCCAAAGTGAATATGCAACATTGATTTATTTAGGTAAAAATCCAACGGTCATGAACAAATTGTTGTTATGGATTCTCAAGCAACTCATATCACCCAAAATTTCAGTTTCAATAATCCTCCAAGAAATTGGAGAAGTTTCCAAAAACTCCTTTACTTGCACCCCCTAAGTCACGGATAAAAATTAAAATTCTTATAAAATTCTTATAACTCCGTGTACCAGAAAAGATCACCCATAAGAAAAAGGGTGTGATTTCTATAAAGTTGTAACTTTAAACAATTCAATTAAGACGTACCTTCAAATTTGATCATAACATATAATTTTGATGTAAAATATTTTTAAGATTATCTCAAAATTTATTTTCATATCTAATTATAAATTTTTAAACTCCAAAAATGGTTAAAATCAAGTAGATCTATAAACATATAAAAATTTTAAAAATAGATAGTCTAGATAATGTGTTGTTAAATGCATTATTTTTTTAAACTCAAAATCCTTGTTTCTTTCATAATCATACATCTCAATGTCGAGATGCTCAATTAGAGGGTTTTTCAATACTAAAATAACATGTTCCGATGTATTTTTGAAGTGCATCCGTAGTTCTGTATTTTAAGATTATAAATTTTTTCTTAAGAAAAATATATGAAAAAATATAAGAAAAAGACCAAATACTTTTAACACAAAAATGTCACAATCACTCTTATCTTTTAGATTTCAAATCAGGTGGTTGTAAAAATGTCATTGATTATACTCATAATTCAAAAAACTATTTTCAAACTTTGACATCCCAAACCATCCAATTTGATATCTAATGGCTAAAAATAATTGTGACCTCATTGTAAAAAAAGCTAAATGGTATCATAGTATACAATCCCAAAATATATTCACAAAAAGAATCCATTAGTGCCCCTCCCATGCTCGCCAATGTCACCAATGACTTGAACAATCCCCCATAAGAATTGTCTGGTAAATTATGTGGACTAAATTTTAACCGTTGGCCATTTTGGTGGCTGATTTTACACCTTCGTCCCAACTTTGAACTGAGAAAAGGAAATTAGTGAGGAAGTTATTCTCATCACGGTCGCCAAAATATGTGTTTTCATGTGTATACATGTGCATGTGTTTGCCTCTTTATGGAGAGGCATGCACATTAGTTACATTTTGGTGACACAATTTAAGAGAAGAACATGTGCGCCTACCCGTTTGGGTAATTCAATGGGAAAGACAAAGCCCCTACCCGTTTTTTTTTTAACATTTTGAAGGTGTTAATTGGGGGTGTCAGCAGTAGGAATGGATACCACGATGTGGTAACTAGGTATGGGTTTCAAGAACCACATCATGCAATTCAATAAACATATCAAAAAGACAACGTGATCATAACAGCTCAGCACAAATTTTTAATCTATAATTCAGAGATATAAACCTGATGATATATAAGCATGCATACACCCATCGCATTTAAGGGGAAGTAAATCCTATAATCCAATGGACTATGAAAAAGGACAGTTCTTTGTGTAATCACTGACCATTGACAAACAGAAATGGTGATGAAAAGAGTGGGACCCAACCGAGCAAGACAACCCCAATGTTGGCCCCATTCTTTCCACCATCATCCATCACTTCATCGAATGCTTTTGAACAATTTCCCATGGTCAATGGGATTATTACCTACATGCAACTATAACCTTTTCACATACACCAGAATGAGCCAACCCCAACTTGGTCCATCATCTACACATCTGCTTGATCCATATTCATGTATGACTCCGCTAATGCAACATGTACAGCCGCCCCAATAGGAAGTGCATCCTCATCGAGAAAGAAGTGAGGAGAGTGAGGAAAATGAATGGAACCAACCTCCGCATTTCTGATCCCAATGCTCAACATCACACCTGGAATTAGTTGTTGATAGAAAGCGAAATCCTCACCAGCCATCACCTTTTCTTGAACTTCCACATTCTCGGTCCCAAGCAAGAGACCTCCCACTCTTTTCACGTGATGGTGCAAGCGCTCATCGTTAAAAGCAGCTGGATAAGGTGGGTGTGTATCATCTTTTATGTTAAGCAATGCATTGCATCTAAGTGCCGCAGCTTGACTTTCAATCACCTGCAATTACTCTATCCATTGTCAAGATTTTCAGCTAAATGATTTAATAATACAGCATTTTGTATTCTACCTTTTCAATCCTAGATATAGCTCAAACAAGATACAGGGAATTTTGAGCGATGAGGGGTGACATCATTCCTAGCAATAGTTAATCAATGTCCTTCCCCTTCACTAATATTTTTCATACTACCCTTGACAAATGAGATGGTAATGCCCTTCACCAAAATATTTTGCACAAACGAGTAAAAATATTGATTGCCAAAAACTGTTAAGAGTACGGTAATGAACTTCCCCAAACGATCACTATTGTAACAGAAAAACCTTTAGAAGATGTAAGGAGGTTAAGATTGCATACCTCTCTGACCCTTCTCTGAAGCTCATGTAACCCATCTGTTGTCAGGCTTCGAAGGGTTCCCCCAATTTCCACAGAAGGCGGGATAACATTTAAGGCTCCACCTCCTTTAATATAAGTAACTGAGACCACCTTCCTTATCAAAGAAACAAAAAATGTTAGTGAAACTAGCATACGACAATATTTTGGGGACAATAAGAAAGAAATGCTTATACTTTGCATACTGGGTGAACAGGCAGCTGATAGTTCATTTTGTTTGTTATCTTTTAATACACCAATAGGCAAGTAGGACTATTCTCAATCATTTTTCCTTCTTTCTGTAAAGGAGAAGATATTTGTTATGGGATCTGAAAAAGGCTATGAGATACAGAGATATATTCATGCGAGTTCCCAAAGAGGACAAACTAGAGTCATTCATTCATGCTTGATAGTAAACAATATACAGCTTTCAGCAACCTTGGTATCAAAACAGCCATAATTTCACAGAAGGATTCGCTTCTGTTTTGACAAGAGTGATATATTGATACATATCTCATAATTGTTGATTCTCCATAACTGTTCCTTACATTTTCCATGCTACCACAAACTGTGGAAATTGGGGGACAATTTCCATTATAAAACAGTGAACACAACCCAAGTTCGAAGTTCTGAAATCTTACAAGGAAAAACATACTCCTCGTTAATTTTTATATTTATACTTTATATTTTCCCTGTTTAGGCTCTTTTTAGACATTTGATGGATATGATGTAGCTTTTATAATTAGTTTTTCATCTCAATAACTTTATAGTTACTCTATCCGCATAAGTATTTTGGCAGACAAATATTTTGGCAGACAAATGTTGGAGAATTTATTAGCACATTTTAGGCAGAAGTGCAGAAAGATATTCACTTTGGATGGGACCTTAAGATAAAAGTGCTATGGGATAAAATGGGTAAAGGGCAACAGCTCAAAGAGGGAACTAAGGAAAAGCATTTTTCAATGAATAAATCTGCAGAATTTGCAGATGAAGTTTCTCATGGTTTAGGAAGGTTACCGTACCACTAAAGATGTAAACAGCCGATGAAGTGAACTATCAATTGAGATCCTTCCAATGCATGATATAGGGCATTGTCATAGGTAGAGGCAGTCTCCTTTCCAGCTAAAAAGGTATGCTATTAGCGACTTCTGCCTATCAAATTCTAGTGGCCGCCGAGGTGTTAAAAGTGTTTTTTCAGCTGTAGCAAAAAAATGAGCCCATGCGGTAATCAGCTTTCTAGAAGGTTTTCAATTCCTAAAGAATATTGTGTGAAGGATTAAGAATAGAAGACATCATGCCATCCTTTTATGCACTATGGAATTGCTATAAAGTTCAAAATGCCTTCAGAGGTGCAAATTTGGAGCTGCAAATGAGGCTGAGAAAGGGATCAACAGATGTTTTGACTCAACTGCTCAGGAGTAAAGTTTGACAAGTACAGGACAAGCCTACACAAGAGACGATTCTATATATCACAAGATATGTATATGTACATGCACTGACGGATACTAGTACATATCCATGTGTGGTATTCACATCTTTCGAGTTGAAGACGTTTTGGAACGCAATTAAGTTAATAAGATTCACTAATTCAAATTTCTCCTAGGGCTAAAATTTTGTGACATCCAAGTTAGGGAGATTGAAAACCTGACCCTCAAAGCCTAATTCAAACAAATTTCATTGCATTTGTAGGGTTATCAAGAAAGAACATATTTGAGCTCTACACCTGAGTTTTCTTTATGCATTATTGGAGACAGTTTATTGCAGTTGAGTTCCATTTTGCACCTACATAAAAATCATCAGTAGAAAGACTTGTATTACGTTTCACCAAGAATCTCTTCCATATTTATTGAAATGTTCATAAAACGGATCCCTATTCAAATAATATCTATCAATTGATGGGAGATTTGAGAAGAATTTAAACTTGAGGAGAGCTGATGCAGCCTAGAATACTGGTCTCGAGTATCTAGATAAGAAAAACAAGCATAAAGTTTACAAGAGGAACCACATAAGGGAAAAATAGTCATTGAATTTGTGTCCTTATGTCTTTTATTTATTTTTTGAGTCGTTTTATTCACTTAATAGCATAAGTAGTAGTTTTTAAAGTCCTTTATGTTTTTTTATTCACTTAAAGTCGTTTATAATGAATGGTTGTGATTAGATTAGATGGATGTCCAGGATTAAATCTTATTTAAAGTTTCTTATATATGGGATGTCCTCAAGCATAATGAAGTATCTTGTTATGGACTTTATTCAAAACCCTATAGCAGCCTGTGCTCATTCTTTTGTCTCTAGCTTTCACATCATTCTCTAATTTTGGATCTTCCCTATCTTCTTCTTTGCCAAACCCTAGCTCCAAGCCACTAGGTCTGTGCCAAGAGGTTTCTTTGAAGTTGGTGTTTGACGACAATTTGATCATTCTCCATTTTGATCTCCTTTCACCATCCATTCCAAAGAAAAGAAGAGGTTGATAGTGCTAGTTTAATGTAACAATGAAACAGCTATGTTAACAATCAGCTTTCTCAAACAATACCAATTTCTCATTCAATATTAGAAGCCACATACTTGGCTATGAAGAGGATCAGTTTCTCGAGAAACAAGCTGTTGCAATGCTAGAATCGTAAGTGATGCAACAACAATGGGGTCCACAGCCAAATGGGGAAATGCAGCATGTGAACCTTTCCCTTCAATCTTGGCTTCAAAGAAACATACAGCAGCCATTACAGGTCCAGGCCTTGTTGCTATTTTCCCTGTTGACAACTGATTCGAAATATGCATCGCAAAAATTGCTTCTGCGTTACCAAGAGCACCTTCTTTTATCATGTGAGATGCCCCTGCGCCCCCCTCTTCTGCAGGTTGAAAAAGTAGTCTCACAGTTCCCTTCAAAGTTAAAAATCAAAGTAATCCAAGCCAGTGTTAGAACACCAAAGCTAACCAGTGAAACACTGAGTAAAATAGATAGCTAGTCGATTAACAAATCTGAACTTCATAATCTTTCTAAAAATATAAGAAAAAAAAATATTCATAGAGAAGTTTTAATTTATAGATGAAGTGATCTGAATGGTTGACGACTTACATGACAATTGAATTTCGCATTCATAGACAATAACAAAATAATTAGCATATAAGAATCATCAAGGAAAACTAAGAGTTCGATTCAATGCCTTATTTCTGCCATAGTTGATCCTGATTCGATTTTATCAAACCACTGTCGAGATGCACCATCAAACATTTCACCCATTTTTAGTATCTTAATTTCAAAAAGCCACAAAGAACAATGTCATAATGGGCCAACAATGGGTTGGAAATTTCTGGAGGGGCAGTTTCCAAATTTGTCCCGCCACCAAAACAAAAGCAGCTTTTAGGAACGCCATCAATGTGAGACATCAGTATTTTTTAATACTTTCTCACTCTAAACACCCAAATGACATGGAAATTTCGAACAATGACATCTTACCAAGTAAATTACCATGCTACATATTGGTATTTTCAGTTGCTGCATACTGGTACGTCACTAAGTCGTCTTGTGAAATATCATATCTTGAATCCCGACCTTAGAAGGGTGCTTAGTTTTGCAAGACTTTTCTAATTCAGAAATCAAATTTTCCAATTGCATGTAATGCTTTTCATTCACAAAGCATTCCTGCAATGGAAAAGCCTTTTATTTGCAAAAACACAGATCTGCCTCAATTTATTGCAACATATGTCCAATGCTGCTCGAAAATTAGCACCAAAAATAATCAAATGAGAGAATGCCTAGCAGAATTCGGGTCAGAAATGGGAGAGCCTCGCCATTCTCAATGTTATGTGGACACTGGTATGGGTGACGATCTCTAGTACATGTCTCAGGTGTCTTAATTCATTGATACAAAAAATCCAGTACAACCAAACAAGTCCTAAATTATGCATATCTCAGGTGTCTTAATTCATTTGGTACAAAAATCCAGTACAACCAAACAAGTTCTAATGTTATGCATATGTAAATCATAGAAAAATTTCAAAACGATAATATTAGGACAACTATGAAAAATGAAAACAATATCTAATAAACTATAAAATATATTTACGTGGATTGGAAATAAAAATTATTGGTTTGTATCATTAAATGTTTAGAAAGAATTTTTTAACAAATTACGTATATCGATAAAAGTTTTCATGTTAAAACAGAAACGTGGTTTGACTAGTGTTACCCCGACATTCCCTTTTTCGGCTGGCGTTGTATTATGGCTGAAGTCCATCCTCCTGGTATGCAAACTGAAGTCCATCTCCCTCCCATTTACTCCACCTATGCCCATCTTATTCGACCTCACAGGTCTACTCCTTCGCTCTCCCTCGCCCCCCCCCCCACCATCTCCACACCCACTGCGTCTCCCCCTTCCCCCCCTCTCTCCCTCCCCTCTTTACCCTTGCTGGTCACCAGGACCCTACTTTTTTCTCCAAGATCTCTGCTACACTAGTAGGTTCCTTCACTCCCCACCAAGACGATGTCAATGGTATAGAGAAATAGGAATAAAGGCTGTGGGGAGCCCCTGAACATTTCTGGAGGAAGCTCTACTCCGGCAAAATTCTCTTCCTCTTCCCTTTGCCCTTCAAACCTCTCTGAGGTGTCCAAGTCCTCTCTTGGCAAGTTTAAGGGAGCATCCCTCCCTTACTCCCTGGACCCCTTTGTCTCCGTGCCTTCAAACCGCAGAAGATTTAGCTGAGATTCTTCGAAATTCCCCTTCATGCTTGGACGGCAGACACTTTCAGACAGTTAGCAAGCCCCTGCGGATCCTTCATCTCAATCCACTGGACTAGATCCATTAAGCTCCACCCAATGGGCTCCATCCAGATGCTAATCAAGGTCCTGGATCCGTTTTCCCTCCCGTCCTTCATGTGGCTGGAAGTCGAAGGCCATTTCTACAAGGTGCTCTGTGCTTGGCAAGCTGCTTCCCCTCCCTCGCCCCAGCATGTCCATACTGCAGAGCACGATATCAGGCCCCCTGTGGTTCACAACGAGTGGACTACGGTTACTCGTCGTTGAAAGAACCCTACTCATCGCAACCGTCGGAATGCCTATCTACTGGCCCAAAATGAGCCACAAATCCCCAGCACAGCAATCCCTTGTCCTCCCTCCCATCCCCTTCTCGCCTCGCAAGCCATCACCCCTTATCCCTAACAGATATTGACCATGTGTCCCATTACCTCCCACCTCACCCAACTACTCCCTGACATTCGCCGCCCAAACTCTAAAACCCAGCTGGCATCCCGTCAGGCTCACCACCTTCCCCTCCCTCCCTTCTCTCTCTCACGTGATCCCCTGCCCTTCCTCTTTCCACAAGCATATTTTCGAATAAATCTCTCATTTATGTTCACGAATAACAGTGTCATGGCGACATGTGTGGTGCAAATGCAACTCTCACGCAGAACCCTTGCCAAAGGAGGAACTTCAAGCTTACGGGACAGTATTTTTTGCAGCCTCAGGCCCTATCTGATACGACAGAATTACCTAACCTTGTTTTCCTTTTTACGACATTATAAGTTTGTATACAGAACCCCCTTCAGGGAACCCTATTGCAGCACCCAAAATTTTCGACTGCAATTTTGTACTCTCCTTCCTTCAATAGAAAGTTAACTTTCTCAAAAGAAAAACACATGTTGACACATCCTGACGCGAGGGCATTCACATCATCCATATGCATGTGCCATGTGGCATTATCATTAGGTGTGTCGCTACTTCATGTCAATAGTGTTGACTTTACGTGTCATGTGGATAAGTCATGTGTGGTCATGTTTGCCGAGTGTGGATCATGTAGTGCTCGAGTGTGGAGTCAGTGGAGTCACATATGGTGGTTAACTATGGAGCAAGTTTAGGTTGTAGGTAAGTGTGAGGCACATTTGGTTTGTAAGTTTGTGTGGAATGACGTGTGGATAGGTCAAAAAAGCTTTTGTCCCTCATGGGACTTGAACATCCAACTTCGTGGCAAGTGCTCTAACACCAGAAGTCCAAGTACGTCTGTGACCAAAAAAGTAAGGAAAATTTCATTATTAATAGGTTCAAAAAAATCTTCTAAAATTAATGACTACAAAAAAGATTTTTATATCTTCTCCATGCAAATATTTATATTTATGTGCTATTATTCAGATTGTTCATAACTTTCCTATTATCTTTGGAAATTTTTATAAATTACTTAGTACAAATGTCTCGGACCGTACAGATTTTGTGGCCGGCATACTAGACATCTAAGACATGTAGTAGACACCGAAACCTGTCCTGTTTTCATGTAACACTAGCTTGGACCTGTCCAAGTAAAGGGCTCCTCACCAATCCAAAAGATTCATGAGTATAGTGACTATTATGGGCCCCCAAACGAATTAAAGAAACCTGCAATAATTATTATGGGTCTCATGCCCATTATGAAAACCTGCATGTAGTGATACTGTGTATAATGTCCTACTATATTTGGGTGATATACCTGCTGTAATATTCATCACATATCGTTTCTTTTACTAAAAATTATCATATTTGGGTGACTTTCTTGCTGTAACAGTCATGCAGAATGGTTGTAACTCGTACACCTAGTGACCTATATATATTGTAATTTCCATAGGGATCTATGTATATATAGAGAATATTGTCTCGTGATTTGTATAGATTGAAAAAGACATCTTTTTACCCTTTCTGTTGTAATATTAATTTCTCTCTTCTCTCTCAATATTAACGTGATATCAAAGCAGAGCTTAAAACCCTAAGATATCCATTACTTCCAACGAACCTAGAATCAAGATTTTTATTCTTTCTTGGGCTTGAAGCTGTGGTGTGTTTGCAACCACGTATTTCCAACAAGATCATCTCGCTTTCCTTTACCACTAAGTTTTTATCCCAAACTCCTTTCATTTTCAGCAGCCTCACATTTCCAGCAAGATCATCTCACTTTTCTTTTACTAATAAGCAAGTTTTGCCCTAAATTCTTTCTATTTGCAGCAAAAACCTTATATTTTTTCTTTTTTTTCACCCCATACAAATATATTCCATACCTTTATTGCCCAAAGAAACCAGAAGAAGGGGAACTCTACAAACTTTGAAACCAAGGAATTAGTATCTTGACAAAATCAAAGAAACTTAGGCCCTGAGTTTGAGAGAGAAGGAAAATGTCAAAAATCAAGCACAATTCCTTGAGAAGCAGTCAATCTGACCACCCAGGATTGATGATCACTACAGTTAAGTTAGATACGACGAGCTACTTAGAATAGTCCCAATCCGTTGACATGTTTATAAGAATACAGAAAAAATTAGGTTATATCACAAGAAAAGTGAAAAAGCCCCCTCACAAATGATTTATCCCATGATGAATGGGAAAGTGAGAACTTGACAATAATGGCATAGCTCCTTCACCACAAAAGTTATATGTGATGCAATAGCTGAGACATTACTTGCAATGAGATGATATGGGTAGGATTTACCAATTGCGTCACATAATACCAAATTTGTAGCATGGGGAAATGATAGTGGAAGAGTACTTTGGGATTCAAAGGCATAAGTCGAAAGAACTAGACCCCTATCAGCCTATTAATCCCAATATTGATTACATTAAAAAAGAGGCCGAGCAAAGAAGGATATTTGATTTCTTAGCAGGCCTACATCTTGATTTTGAACTTTAGAGAGTACCAAGTTCTAAGAAAGAAGAAATTGGCCTCTCTTGAATCGGTCTATAATTATGTAAGTGGGGAGACCACTAAAAAGGCAATTACAGAAGGACAAAACTCAAACATCCATTTTGAATGATTAGCCTTTACAACAAGCTTCAAGCAAGGGAAAGTGTGTACAAAAGGACCAAATCATGCCCCACTTTCTCTCGTTTTAAAGGGGAAGCTCAAATGCTCCCATTGTGGGACAAGCA